AAATATCAACGATTGCATAATAGGGGTTATTTTAATAAATTGCTTTTAAGATATGATTAATGCAGGTATGAATTTAAGTAATATAATTATTTAATTAAATATTTTTATCATTAAAAACACTTTTGATGCTAGGGACTATTAGTAATCAAAATTTGATCCCAACTTTTGATTTATATAATATTTAAGTAATTTTTAGTTAATAACTCAGCTAATTATTAATAATTATTATTAATCATAATATGAAAAGTTCTATCACTACCACTGGTTCAAATAATTAATACATATTGTCTGTGTTAAATTAGCAACACTGCTCATTATGCATATGATATACATAACGAGTCACGAACTTGTTATTGTTGAGATTATTGTTGCTTACAAGCTAGGTCCAATAAAAAAAAGATTGAGCAAGTATAGTTGTAATAATAATTTAAAAATACTGTATATTTAAAGGATTATTTTTTGCACTAATAAAGCTTCGATATCTTGAATATAAAGATATTAAAAACAAATTCCCAAGTGTTGTGTAATTTTTTAAAACTGCTTATATTATATATCAATACTGCTTTATTACTTTTGATTTTTGTTGTTATTCTTAATTATACATGTCTCATAAATTAATTGCTGCTTAATTGTAATCTAATCTATTTAAGTAGGCTAAGGGTGCTCTCAAGTATCTAAATCAATAAGTCTGAGTTCAATTTTTAATTAGTGGAAAATAAATTATTTGGTCAAGTGAGTTTATTATTGCGATAAAAAAAAAAATGCCCAAAAGACTAACTTTTTTTATCATAGAGTTGAGCTAGTTGGCTAAAATTTAATATCTGCATTTACAACATGAATTCTCGATAAAATTATCATAGGTTTACTTTAATTATTTATAGTATGTTGTGCACGATCTCTATAGCTAGCTAATTACACTAAAGAAGATATTTTAAGAGCACCCTAAATTCTCATAACAGCTCTTTCAAACAACAAATATTGTAATAAGTGTTATTATATAAAAATAGAAACATTAAAAAAATTTATATATAAAGTTATTTTTCAGAATACGTTTAAGGAAATTCCTGAGTATGTTAATTTAAAAGAAAAAGATACTTGCACAGTTTGTCAAGATATAATTAGTCCAACTCTTCAAGAATTAATTACAATTTTAACATGCTGGCATTTTTTTCACAAAAAATGTATAAACTATTGGGTTGTTGATTTAAAACTTTTTTGTTCTAATTGTCGAAATGAGGAAAATACTAAAAACAAGACTGTTGAAAATTTAATAAATACTGAAATAAATATAGATAATGATGAAAACTTTGGCACTATCACAATAATACCTACTACGCTCACGATGCCTATGGTATTTATATCTAATACGCTTACAACACCTATAATATCTATTATGCCTATAGCATCTACCGCATCCACTATACCTACTATACCTATACCTTTAGCACTTACTACATCTTTAGTATCCGCTACATTCATGATACCTGCTATATCATTTTTTACTGAACCTACATCTACTGAATCTATATATGTTGAACCTACATATGCTGAATCTATATATAACGAATCTACATATACTGAATCTATCATATCAGTAGCATCTACTTCGTTGGTTTTAACTGTGATAAGAAAAGATAAAAATTTTCAAGAAATTTTCAAGCAATTAAAAACTCCTGTTAATAATATATCCGAAGTTATTAGTAGTAGTGAAGACACAAGTATTGTTGAAAAAAATAATACAACATCAAGCTTGGTTTTACTATATAATAAAGCAAATCGTAATAAAAAACACACAATATATGCAAACCAAGCTGAAATATTATCCTAGTATCATTATACTGAAGGGTTTAAAAAACAAGTAAACAAAATATTAAATAATACTAGAGTATCTATAAACAAGACAAAATCAAAAGTCTATAGAAAACTTTTGATCTGTCTTGTGATATAGATTTACAAACTTTACAAAAAAGAACATAGAAAGCAAATACTGTATATAATTTATTTAAAAAAATCAGGGTTGACAAAATTTGACGAATTAAATCATATAGTTTTTATTCAATTGCAGATCTTACTATACCTCAAATTAAAGCAATCGAAAATTATTTTTTGTTATGACAGGATTGATATTAAAATAATTTTTCAGATTATACTGTAAGCTTTTTGTAACTTTATAGTGTAGTTACAAAGTAAATTAAGTTTTACAAATTAACTTTCTTAGAAAATAGGTTTCATAATATTAAAACTAATAATTAACTATTAACAAGATTCACGTTGGAGAGGATGCAGTTGCAGTGAGTAGTAAGAATAATTTATAGTAATTAAAAGTAGGTTATAAAGTATGTTTGAGTATTATGATATTGGTAAGAGTGGTAATAGTAAAAAGTTTGAATAATATTACAGAACAGGGTAAAGAAATAGCAAATTCATGTTGTTGAATGGGGTAGAGTGAAATTTGTGGGTTATTATGTTTTTTATTATTTGTATAAAAGCAGGCTTCATATTTATATGATATTTATATGTAGGGTTTTATATGTAAAAATTTTATCAGATACTACCTTATAGTTTCGAAAATAAGCAACCTTGGCTTGCAATATACTAATTTCGGCTTGTACTGTAATTATTTTGACTAGCATTATATCCAAAAAAGGGTGTTTATTTTTGGAACTAACACTATACAGTATTAATATGTACGTACGTATATATATACAGAAAACAAGATTTTGATAATTAAAAAACTTGAATTTTCAAAATTCGATATACAAGTCTCAGATAAAAAGGTAATGATCGTACGATAAGTTTTTTTATAAATACAACAGTAGTTCGTAGCAAAGTGAAATGAAGCGCTGGGATTAAGATCAAGATTCTGAATAAAAAAATAGATAAAGATCAAGATCTAGAGAAATACTATATATAAAATGCTTTCAAATCTGTGTTAAAACTGATTTGATCATTTTATTCATTTTATTCTTAATAGAAGTATTCACCATCCCTGATTCCCCATATGAGTATATGGAAATCATTTTCTATATCTTTTTGAAAAATAGCTATAAAATAATAACTGGTTGATCATGAAATTCTAAATTATCAAATAGGTTACTTGAATTTGTTATCTCGACTCAACATCAATGTGACAAATTCAAATTTGTCATGTGATAAGTTCGAATTTGTCATCTCGATTCAATATCGATATGACAAATTCGAACTTATCATGTGACAAATTCGAATTTGTCACATCAATATTAAGTTGAGATGACAAATTCAAGGTAACCTATCTGATAATTTAAAATCTACTAAAAGTTAATTGGTATTTCTAATTTTTATAATTTGAATTTATATTTTAATACTATAAAATAAGATAAAAATTGTTAATAAATGATGCTAAAAATAGTTAATGCTAAAAATTATACAATATAATTATATGATAATCTTTTGTATAAATACTTAATATTACTATTACTATTTGTATTAAAGTTAAGATTAGGGTATAGAAGTTTTTTTTTTAATTTTATATATATTATTTAATTTTATTAAAGTAATTAAAATATATTTACTCATCTTTAAAATTTAAAAAAAAAAAAATTTAAAATATAGTCATATTCAAATCCTAACTTTAATATTAATAGTAAAATTTTTTAGTTAGTAATACAGCATTTTAGATTTGTTTATATATGATCATATGATTTTTAGTATTATTTATAGATTAATTAGTAAGCTTTATAATTACTGTATAAAGTATCTAGATTTAAAAATAATTATCTATTTAAAAATAATATATAT